GAATTGAAAGAATTATTTATGTATTCTGGGATTTTTTTTTAGATATACATATATAATTTATGTTTTCTCTTAATATTTGTCTTGACTATTTTTCTTAATAGCATTTTTTGAGTTGTGAAAGTTTTAATTTTGAAGAAGTCTTAACTTAGTGAGCATGACTTTTTAGGCTCTCAAAGGACTCTTGCCTAACTCCTAAGTGCAAAGATCTTCTCTTACGTTTTCTCCTATAATTTTTATTGTTTTAACTTTTCATGTATAATCTGTGAGTCATCTGAAATTAATTCTTTCACATTGTCTAAGGTATTGATCAAGGATATTTCTTTCCACCCTGCACCCAGCCCAGAATATACTCAATTTTTATGTCACCTTTTGTTGAAAAGATTGTTTTTTTCTAAAAAGAAATTTCTTTGTTGAAATTGATTTGGCCAGGTAACTGTGGGTCCATTTTTGGACTCTGGCATTATAAATATTTGCATGAACTAATTTTTTAAAGAGATATGAACTTCTTATCTCTGCCCACTCTCAGACCATGGCCTCTAAATACTATTTTTTATTTTTGAGAGTCTTTTTTTTTTTTTTTTTTGCTATAGGGCATATGCACTCGCTAGAAAGACAGAGACAGACAGATAGACAGCAAGAAATCACCCCCCAGGGTGGATGGCCATGCCACAATCCCTTCTCCTGCATTCTCCTCTCAGGATCTTGGGCACGCACACACACACGTGCCCGGCATGAGTTTAAGCCACTGGGTCTGGGACTCAAACCGAGGTCGACTACATGGGAGTTCAGTGACATAGCCATTATGCTAACTGCTGGTCCCAATACTATTTTTCATTAAAATAAATCAGGGCTCTCTGGAGAAGTCACTAATGTCCATTTTGAGACAGGAATTTTGTAAGATGGCACATTTTATCATTGCAGAAGCAAGAATACCTTCTATGGTCTCTCTGGCCAAAGGTGGGATACGTTGATCTACGTATACATTGAATAATAATCAAAGCAGGGTATTTAACATATCCATTACCTTAAACATTTATCATTTCTTTGTGTTGAGAACATTCAAAATATTCTTTTCTAGCTATTTTGAAATATATATTACATTATTGACTAACCAAGTCACCATGTTGTGCAATAGAGAATTAAAATGTATTCTTCCTTTAAAAAAGAGTAATGGTTGAAATAAATTGAAACTCAATTGTATTACTTAAAAATTTTTATGTTTGCAATAATGGTACAAAATAAACTCATTAGGAACTTCTGGTAATTTCCAGCTTCTTTATCCCCTCCCCTATCATGGCCACCTCTGGTGATTGCTGATACTCCCAAATCATTGTTCTAAATACTGGTAAGTGGCAGGAAGTAATAAGTACTTTACTTACTTTTCTTTCCAAACTATATTGTTTGGTAACTAAATAGCTGATAAAGGAGTGTCTTTTTGTTGTTGTTGTTGTTGTTTTTAATGGAAGAAAATCAGCTTAAAATGTATAGAAAGAATGATAGAATTTGAAGATTACCATATTACTATCTCTAATGAAATAATGATACTAAACTATGGTCACTAGTAGATAACTTTATAATGGATGAATTAGGCCAACAACCTTGAATTCATGGATCAGTTTTAATATCACAGAGACAGATAGTATATATTTTCAGATAAAGTGCAATAGAAAATGCATTGAACCCAGCTCCAGGTATTATTGCCAAAGGAATTGATCCTGAATAAAATTGGTGTTCTGAGCCTAATTATCAGTTTACAGGAAATATAGGGATATAGGAACAATGCCATGAGAAAATCTAGAAGAAAAATTTTCTATTTTTCCAACAAATAAATGGCATAAAATCTTATGGACTGAGGAAGGACTGTCAGAGATTAGAGAAGACTTAAAGGTCCACAACCAAATGGAATGTGTGCACCTACTTTGCATCCTACTAATTATAAAAAATAAATAAATAAAATAAATTTAAAAAAAGGAAAAGAAAAGAAAAATTAAAATCTGAGAGTTGAGTTTTGATTATAGACTGTGTATTGAGTACATTAAGAAATTAACACATTAAGAAAGGTATTGATTTTATTAAGTGGTAATGGCATTGTAATTAAAAAGAGAGACTTTAGAATATATTGAAGTACTTGTTGAAAGTATAAGATGATGTCTGGAATTTGCTTTAAAATACTTTTTTATAAAAGAAGTAGTTAATTTTATTTACCACTATTATTTTTTAAATTTGACCAGAAAGAGATAGAGAGAGCAAAAGAGGGCAAGTGAGAAAACAAGCTGCCAGGTCCAGGATATATATCTATATATATACATACATACATACATACATACATACATACATACATATAGTGGGCTTTACTCACATTATCACTGTTGTGAAGACACAGTTTTATCTTGGGACCAGCAGTTAGTGTAATGGCTATGTCGCTGAACTCCCACATACGGACTGCGGTTCAAGTCCCAGACCTGGTGGCTTAAACTCACACCGGACCCATGTGAATGCGTGCCCAAGATCCCAAGGGGAGAATGGAGGAGAAGTGATTGCGGCATGGCCATCCCCCCTGGGGGGTGATTTCTTGCTTTCTATTTCTCTGTCTCTCCCTGTCTTTCTGGCAAGTGCACACGCCCTATAGCAAAAACCTCTACACATACACACACACACACACACACACACACACACACACACAAAGACATAGTTTTATCTTAAAGTTCAATTTTCATCCCTTCAGAGCATCTTCATCTAGGAGCTGGGAACTTCAGTGTGTGAAATACTGGTACCTGTTGCCTTTTTTTTTCCCCTCACACAGTGAGCTGGAAAGACTTTTTAATCTCAGCAGAGATTTGATTGCTTTCATCCTTTACATTTTTCCCGTGAAGACCAAATGAAGATCTGGACAGTATTGTTCGCCAAAAGCTGTTTATTCTGAATCAAACACTGATGGATGGATGCTCAGAGGCCTAGCCCTACCTTCAGAAGATTTGTGTCTCTCTCTGCTGCTCACAGAACTGGAGTTAATCAGTACTCACCCCCTTCACCTTTGACCATCTACATGCTGCGTCACAAAGTCATAATGAATTCCAAAAGGAGAGCATCTTCTCTTGCAGCATGAATTTACCAAATAGTACATTTTAAGCCCTTCTATGCCTCTGCGGCTCACAGATGCCATGCACTGATTCATAACATGCTCATGAGTGATGTATTCTCTAAGGAGAATGCCTGGAGGTGCAGTGCACATGTTGTAGTAATTGCTTTTCTGCACTATGTGTCATTGATGATATGTGCTATCAGACCATGTCATTTGATAAAGAAATTCTGACAATAATTCATTCTATTTTCCCTCCAAGTGTATTTATCTTTAGCCTTGAGACTCAGAATTTTTCTTAAAACGCTTTGGCAGTTGTGTGACTTATACCTGTTTTCCCCACAAGGAGTATGCTTTAAATGATGCCTATTTAATTGTGGTGTGTCTCTGCCACCAGTGACTCAGTTGCTTTTGTAGTCTCAGAATTCTTGTGCACTTGTCAGGAAAAATGAGTTGATCTCCTGAAAGTGAGAATGGGCACTGTGTAGAAGAGATACCAAAGCTTGAATGGCTGAGCTTGGCAGTTTTCATCCAGTTGATAATGGGAGATTAGGGACAGACGAATTGTGAGTCCAGTAACATTCAGGTTTTAGTACATGTTAATCTTCCTTACATACTACTTTTTTTCCCTCTCTACTTCTGTAAAACACTTGTCTTTGAAGATTCTTTTTTTTTAATTACTATTTTAAAAAATTTATTTCTTCCATGAGCCAGAGAGACACAGAGAGAGAAAGCACCCCTGAAGGGGCCTTGATACTGTGATCCATTCCTAGCTCCAGCCAGTTTCAGCTAGGAGAGGTCTTTGGATGTGAACTTGCCCATGTGGGAGTCAGCCTTGAGGACTATCCTGTTTACCACTGTGCCAGCATGTGGTCTCCAGATTGCTCTTCTTTCCTTCCCTTCTCTTCCCTTCCCTTCCCTTCCTTCCCCTTCCCCTTTCTCTTTCCTCTCTCTCTTTCTTTCTTTCTTTCTTTTTCTTTCTTTCCCCCCCACCTCTTTCTTTTTCTTTCTGATCATTTGATTTCATGCTCTATTGGTGGCCAGGGTTCTGTCCATAATTTAGGTTTATAACCTTATTTCACGTTGTATTTTCACATTTGTATTGGATTCATTTTTGTGAATTTAAAAGGTAATGCTATACAACATTGACAATAGATATACTGTCTTTTTAATATGAACAATAATGCCCCCCATATATGAAAACGTATTTGTTGTGACAGACTACATCAAACTAAAAGTTGGTAAAGACCAACCTCACTATTAATGAGGTGAGACAAAATAATAAAACATGGTAATTTTAAGTTTCTTAAAATCATAATTAATCTTACATTTTTGAAATGCATGAGATAAAAATTGCTTAATTGTTTTGCCCTCTTGAAGACCCCCAGCCACTTGTAGACCTCTTGATAGACCAGACCACTGAATTCACCATGGTCCCTGACTCATGCATTGGGTTCACTATGGTCCCTGACTCATGCAATGGATTCACCATGGTCCCTGACTCAGATACTGAAGAGCTCTGCTTTCAAACAGAGTCTCTGGGGACAGTAGATTCCCCAGAGTTTGTTCATATACTGCGTATTTCCCCTCAGTATTGGGAAGTCTTCAGACTCTGTGAAGCCTTCCCATGTAGGATTGTATTTCTCAAAGTGTGGTTTGGGGAACCCTTGCATCAAAGCCACTTGGGGCAGCTTCTTCCACAAATGTATTCCTAGGCTGCATCTCAGATTCCTGAGCGGAATCTGGGAGTAAGGTCTGGAAACCTGCATTTTCTCAAGTGAATCTAGTTAAGAGAACAATTCAAGTACTGCTCAGAGTCTGCAACTCAGAAGACGCATGCTTGCTGTTTGGTTCATATGACACATTATTTTTTGAATTTATGATGAATAATTTTTTGTTCTCCTTTTTTTCTTACCTTTAGGACTCGTCAGTCACATCTGTAACTTGTTCACTGAGACTGCCACATTGTGTTTGGATCCACATAATAAAAACAACAACGAGATGGCAGCTGCTCTGCTGTTTTCCCTGCTTGATATTTTGCACAGCATGCTGACCTATACGTCCAGTATCGTACGGCTGGCTTTGCAGGTACAGGGATTCTTTTCCAGTGTCTTGAGAGGCCATACTCCATGTTACACTTCTCTTTCGTTCTTCTTTGTAGTCTTTCTCTACTGTGTCTTTACTTTTAAGAAATAACGTATCATTCTATAGACAGAGTCTTCTAGAAAGTCATCTTTCAGTGACCAATGTTTAGAGAATTTGATCACAGAGTCTTAAGGGGCAGCAGGCAAAGCCGAGTCATCTTTCAGTGACCAATGTTTAGAGAATTTGATCACAAAGTCTTAAGGGGCAGCAGGCAAAGCCTATTTTGCAAAGACTCAATGAGCAATAGTGGGGAAACCATGGAGTATTTGTTACATGCACCTCAGGGTTGGCCAGGAAGTGTTCAGAGACACACTTTTTTGTCTAGAGGCAACACTCTAGCTCACATTCAACAAGATAGGTTAGCTTGCTAGGAACAATAGGTTGAGAGTTTTTACATGCACATATGTATACATGTTTGTATATTTTCATAGATAGACACATCCTTACATGCACAACCCATACTCCCTCACTGCATTTTCTTATGACCAATAATATGGAGTTCCAAGATGGTTTTGAGTATTAGAGGTATATTCAGTGGCTATGGAAAAAGTCAGTTTACCTCAAGTTTAACCAGTATTTAGACTGTGCTCTATGAAAGGCAGAAGGTGTGGTTTTATTGCGTGTTTTCCATGTAAGGAAACTACATGCCTGTTTCATTTCATGCTCTAACCAACTCAGTCAGCTGGTACTTAGAGCAAGTTAAAAGGCACACAGCCAATATCCATTTAGTGTTATGTTTAAAATTGTGATAAAATTGCTAGAGATGTACATCAAATAGTAGCAGCCTAGCTTGGATAGATGCAGAAGCTAAAGTTGAACCCAAACTGTTCTGATACCTGGCCAAGAGTTACAGTAGCAGAGCCAAGAATGAATCCCTAGACGCTGGTTTATTTAGTCTCTGCTATTCATCATTATGAAAAATGGCATCACTTACTCACAGTTAAGGGGTCAAGCATTTATCTTGTCTAGTATAGTTTAATAAATAATCCCAAGATCTTGCTCAATAAATCTGGTATTTACTAAGTATTTAACCCAAACTGTAAAACTAGTTGGTTAATGTGACCTTTGAATGACTTAGTTGTTCTATTTGCTTGTCTATAATAGTTCTGAATTAAGAGCAAAGTTTTTTTTAAGTACTTACGGAATCCTGAGTTACGTATTTCTCCTCTTTCTTATAACAAACTTCTCTTCAGAGAACATTGTTTCTTCTTTTTAAAAAAAAAAAAGTTTATTTCTTCATATGAGAGAGAGATAAAGTGAGAAAGAGAGAAAGACAGACAGACAGACAGACAGGCACCCTCGATAGGGTCTTTACGTTGTGATATTCCCCAAGCCCTGCAGCCAGCCCAGATCACAGTCATGTCCATGGAGGCACCTGGTGTGTCCAGGTAGACCCAGCACGTGAACCTGGAGCTTTCTGTATGGCCTCTACCTTCACAGAGCAGAGACCCTACTGTCTCCACCACCACAGTTGGGCTGAGAATCTTGTTTCTTATTTCACTCTTTGCAGTGGTAATTGTATGCAGTTTGTCGAGATGTAGTCGATAGCTACTCTCAGAAGATGCCTTGATGATATCAATCTGTGAAAGATTATATATCTTATAGATCCTAGACTTAAAAGGGTTAGAATTTAAAAAAAAAAAAATCTTCAGAACAATCACAATCCTTCTTGCTATAAGTGATTAGGTAGATATTCAGGGATTTTTCAAAGAAAATTCCTAAAGACAAAATATTTTCTAATTCTCTTCCTTTGGTTTGCTAGCAGGTCAATAGATCAGTGCTTTTATTTTTGATTTTTTATATTTTCAACAACGCTATCAATGTTATTGCTGTAATCCTCTTACATCCACCCTCTAGGGTCTGCCACTCATTGCTCTTGGCCTTGGATCGCTGACTTTGATCTCTCTGATACCTGGTGTCAATCTGAACAAGGTGGAGTTCTTCAGGCCGAAGGAGGGGAATGAGCTGGGGGAACAGTAGAGTGCGTCAGAGATGCAGCTGCCCGAAACCCTGAGCTGTGGGCACTTTGTAAACCCACAGGTCATTTCTTTTGTTTGTAAACATACACTACATGGAGGATATTCCTGCATGCAAAACCTGTGTCTACTTGTAAGAGTAGCTTCATTAAAGTAGAAGAACTGAGGGGTGCCACTGTTTCAAATTATAACAGTGCTTAGATTTATATAGCACTTTTCTTTTCTGGGGAGGAGAGTGGTATAATTCAAGTATGTGTACTGGGGTACTATGACAGGCAGGTGTCAGAATTTCCATCAGTTCAGTTTCTACCCCCAGTATGCCCTGTGGTTCACAGTTGATCCTTGTTTAAACCCTTGAGTTAACAAAAGATAGGGAGGCATACCTGAGACTCATTGGAATGGTAGGTGCATGAGCTTGGCAGGCTGGGCTGCCTTGGTTTCCAGTCCTAGAACAGCACTTTCCACCTCTATGACTGGAGGAAAGTTACTTCACCTGACTGAGTATCAGTTTCCTTTTCTATAAAATAGATTTGATAACTACTTAGCAGGGTTGTCATGAGACCTCAATGAAAGAATAAAACACATATAGTTATATAGAGAGTGTCTTACACATACCTGGCCCCAGGGAAGGCAACTAATATGTGTGGGGTGGTGCCATGAACGGCAACAAAGAGAAGGTGCTTGCCTTCCAGTGCACAGGGAACTTCTTGTGGGCCATGGCCTCCTCATTGGTGTCCTCACACATGAGAGGGCACTCAGTTTTTAAGTACTGACTAAACTAACTCTTAGCAGGCCTGCGAGTTACTAATTTAGGTTTTATTTTGCATAGGGGTAGGTACCAGTAATTTCAGCAGGGATCACGAGAAGAAAGGGAGGTTGGCTCTGAGGAGCTTACAGTTTAGCAGGGAAGACTGTCGATACATAAATAGGCAAATCTTATTACGTGCATGAAAATGCAGCTAACGATGGTGCAGGATGTTGCAGAAGGAACAAAAGGAGAGGGGGCTGGACCTACTTAGGAGGTTAGGGAAGGTTCTTCCAGGGAAGACAAACATTCACTATTATAATCCAGCTAACCTAACTTCCAGTCTAGGCCTTGTCTATTATTTCTGAGGTGGTCCAGGAGAGCTGTTGTATATCAGAGTAGAACAATTAAATTGTTGTTGGTTTGTGGATGTGTCAGCATTGTAGAAATACTGAAGTATGGGCATTGATTGAGTCTTTCTTAGACTCTCTCTCACACACAAAGCATAGGTGGTAGGGGGCTTTTTTTTTAAAGAGTGTTTTGCCTTAGGCTGCATGCACTCACCAAAGAGAGAGAGACAATAAGAGGGAAAGAAAGAGATCACCCCCAGGGGGAATGGCCATGCTGCAATCCCTTCTCCTCCCAGGATCTCGAGCACAACACACTCATGCCCAGCATGATTTTCAAGCCGCCAGGTCCAGAACTTGAACCACTGTTGGCCATGTGGGAGTCCAGCAACATAATTGCTGCACTATCTGCTGCCCCCTATCGTCCCTATTTTTATTATCTCTTGAAATGATCTGATTTGATTCCTTTGATTCTATCACCTGATTGCTCTGCTTTATCAACTATCCATTCTGTCTGGTTGTTGATGGGAGATGAGATTTTATTTATTTATTTATTTATTTATTTTGCCATTCCCACAATCCTGATTGTACCTCTCCCTTCCTTTGGAAACTTCAGCATCACCTCATTATCTATGATCTAACTTTCTGACTCCGGGGCAAGACATTCAAGGCCTTATACAATCCAGACCCCGGATGCCTTCCCAGCCCGTCTGCCAGTCCTCCGTGCTATCCAGATGTAGGCTGTCTTCATCGCCTTTTTCTAAGTGGGCCCTTTACCTCGTGACTGCCATGCCTCTGCTCATGGAACCCCCAACACCTGTAATATCCGCACTCCATATTACGCCCTGTAGACCTCATCCTCGCCATCTAGGTGGTGAAATCAACTGTCACTTTTCTCCTCCCTCCCATGCTACCCAAACTTTGTTTCCAGCTCTTTTATAGCAGGTTTTATCCCCACACCCTAAATTCTGCATAGTTACTTGTCAGCTTTTCGTTCTTTAAATTACGAAATCCTGGAGAGCAGGGACTGAATTATTGTATTCATCAGCGCATTGAGAGCTTGCCCATGATGGTACTTGTGAGCGGAGTAAGTGGGAAGTTGAATAGAGTTGGGCCGCACCATTAACAGTTGTGTTCTGGTGTGTGCTCAAACCTGCTCGAGACTTCAGACAGCACCTTCTGAGGAACTGGCTGTGTTCTCCACAGAGACTTCTGTGTTGATCAACAAACCTCTCTTGAGCACTTACTGTCCACTAGATTCATGAAACAATGCTAGATGTAATAGAATTACATTGTACTTGGCTTTGTTTTTTTTTTTTTTAATACTGGGAAGTTAGCTGAATTCTACTGTCTTATTTTAGGTAATGGTATATTGCCACTTAGTATTGAATATTGCTTGTGAGTTGACATTCGCAAGTTTTATATGTCCAAGATTATTAAGTTTATGTTTCTACCCAGAGTTCTCCTCTGTGATTTATGCTTTTCTATCTAGCAGATTGTTCAATATGACCACTAGAATGTCCCCTAATACGAGGCTGGGAGTTGCCCCAAAAATCCACTGCTCTTTGAGCAAACCCTGCCACCCTTACCTTGTTGTACAAACCAGAAACCTGGGAGCTATTCTTAAAATTCCTCCCTTTTTCATATTCCACATCAAAGCTGCCACTAAATAATACACATTTTATCTTAGATATATAGCAAAGGCAAAGCTCTTCTCAAACCCTACTACTAGCCCAGCTACTATCTTCCCTTGGTGGATTAAAAACATTGAATGGTTAGAGGTAGGGTGAGTTACCACATAGCAGTGACAAGGGGCGGCTAGTTCTGGAACTAGGTCATTGAATCCAGAGGTGAAAGTGAAGGCAGAAAGCCTGCATAGAGAATGCAGTGGAGATGTCATGGCCGAGACAGAAGCCCTGTGCAAGATGCACCTGGAGAGTTGGGTCTGGGAGTCAGGAGGCTGACCTGAGCGAGTGCGATGCTTGGAAATTGGAGAGAGACAGAGGAGGCGCAGGCCTGGGGCTCTGCGTTGATTTCTGACCTCCTGTATTTATTGTTGCATGCATCTTGGGGTGTCTTTGCTGCACAGAGCTCTCCTCATGGGCCCGGGCTTTAGTGAGGAGAGAGAAATTTCTACCACATTCCTGATGGGCAC